CTTGAGTTGGCAAATTGCACTGAAGCAGGGAAGAGGCCAATCAGAACATATGCCCTATTAGCACTAAAAGCTAAATAATTCCTCAGCCTTGTGGCAGTAGCTTAAGTCTACAAAAAGCTAAGAAATTCAAGAGTGAGGGTTCCTTCATACATATATCAATTATCTCTCATTAGAGACCATGAATTATTCTGGATGCTCCAACATATAAAGAAGCGCTTGAAAATCCCCCTTGCTAGTGACAAGCAGAAAGCTTTTCAGCTAAGATTCCCACTTGATGATCCGTTCCCCTGGAGCTGCCCTGGCATGAGGGGTACCAACACCCTTCCCAGCAACCAGGTATGGGAATAGGGTTTAAGTATCTCTCTGTCACTTTGTCCCTAAACTTCACTGGCAGGGCCTCCCTTTCACACGAACTGCTAGCAAGCAGGTTTAGCTCTCTGGTTGATAGTTTACTAGTAATCTTTAAGTCCTGATATGCAGTATTTGCAATGTAGCAGAGATAGTATTGTTGCAAGAACTGGTCTAGAATTAAAGGAAACATGCTTGTGTCCAGCATACTGTGCACGATGGCTGGAGAAAAATCAATACAGATAACTAAAGTTAAATTACAGATGAAATAAGGGTTCTGAATTATTAGAAGTAAACAAATATTTGAAATGTTCAACCCTGGGTTAAATACACACAAAGCCCCCACTACTGTCTTATATTACCAAGAAGGAGAGCATCAGTGTTAATTATACTTTAAGTCTGACACAAACATTCCTTAGAGCCTGCAGATTTGTGACTTGCAGGAAAAGAGCACAAAAATGATACAAACAGAATTAATACAGAAAAGGGCCAAGGACTGGCCATTCCTCTCCAAGAGCCTGTAAGTGTGATGTCACACCAAGGGGGTGAAAGAGAAGTGCCCCTGACTGCTGCGAACTACAACTCTCTAACTGCTGGCTGTACGGGCGCAGATGTGTGTGGGTGCAAGGTGTTTAGATCTACCACCTACACAACAATCCCCATGGGGTCACTAGCTATAGCCTTTTACATTCTTAGTGGCTGTGGCCAGTCTGAGAGCAGGTGACTCTGCACCCTGCTTGTTTAGGGTGTAAATTCCTTCTTCAAGGAAAACACTAACATGGTCCCCCCCGCTTTTTCAACGCTTCTTTCTTTGGGCTCGGTTTTCCATGGCAGCCTTATCTTGCTTTTAGTTTGCTTTAGGGATGTAAATATCCGTTCAAAAAGTTAACTGTTTAAATGATTTAAATTATGTTATTTAAATGGTTAACCAATTGAAGGGAGAGGGGCTGCTCCTGGAGCAGGCAACTGGCAGAGTCTGGGGGCTAACAGTTAGGATTTGTTAACCAGTAAGACTAATGCTTACCGATTAACTGTTTAGGTTCGTAAAATACTAGTTTGCTTCAGCACTAAATTTGGCCAACTGTGTGTGTTAATTTCCAAACATCATGAACACGTGAATCACACACTTATTCAGAGTGGTTCATTTATGGACGTAAACTGGGGACAGAGGAAGAAGAGAGGGGCTAAAAATCAGCTGGCTAGAAGAATGTCCCTTCTCCTTAAGGGTCAGACAGACATTGCCCACCATTAACAGAGGAATGAATTCAAATACATTATTTTGCAGAATCCAATCTCTACTGGTCCAAACACCTCCACCTTACCCTATTGCTAAGGATCTTCTGAACTGGTTCAGGATCATCGAACACCACAAACCCAAAGTTAGGGAGCTTCCCACCGCTGTTGATGCGGAGTTCCACAACATTCCCATAATCTGCAAGAGAAGAGCCAAGTTCTTTGGTCACACATTAGAATGTTCTGCAGAAACAGACATGTGCTTATGGTTGCAGCCCCAAAACCCTGTGGTGAACACAGCAAAGTCAGCAACTTACTTTGGAAGAAGTCCTTCAGTTCAGTTTTATCCACATCATGAGGAAGGTTCCCAACAAATAGCTGGTGACTGTCTGGGTACCTAACAATCCGTCTAGTTTCCATGTCACCCTGCTCACCTTCACGAACTTAAAACAAAAAACACTTGCTTAAAGCCAATCATCATGCACAATACCTGAACAGTTCTAATCATCAGTGTAACTGGCATGCAGTAAGATTCAGACTCAAGTTCTAGTGGAATTTCAATAATTTTCACAATAGCCATGCATTAGAAACTCACACTGACGAGCAAACAAAACAAAATCTAAATACTACAAACTTTTTTTATATTCGTGAAAGTTCATTTCTAAAACAGAGGTTCAGGTCCAGATCAGCTAAAACAGCAACAGTAGCAGGAGTGATTTAGAATATCTATCATTAAGAACTGAAAAACCAACTCTAATTGGCACATGGTATATTGAGTGCCTCATGGCTCCTTAGGCAATTAAAAGGTGATAGAAAGGGGGAAAAAAAGTCAAGTACTTATGCTCTTCTAGCTTTTCTTACTTGGTCTAGGTCCTCTCTGTGGTGGGATGCTTGTTCGCTGCTCCCTCACCCTCTGATCCCTCTGCGGCCTCTGTGACGGAGTCTGGGATTCAGGCTTGGACTCAGGACGGGGCTGCAGAAATGAACAACCAGTAAGTGATATGTAAAACCAGGCAAGGCTAGTAGCAAGGTTCATTTTTCAGAGCTTACTATCAAAGTTTAGATTATACTGAGATAATTTCCAATTTGCAAAAGATTGGTAGTTCTTTTCATCAGTGGCTACAGAATGCATTTCAGCTCAAGTTATACTTGTAACTTCAAAATGAAATGCTGTTCTGTTTTTACTGTGTAGTGCTCAGTCAATAAAATGTACCCTGGGGCTACACAATGTCAGAAAGGGAGATGAAGCATATCTTGCCTAATCATGGCTGAAAGATTTTAGTACCTCTAACTTGGCAAGTTTGCCCAAGCTCTGTGGAACTGCCCTCACTAGATTTTTTCATGTTTTTCAAGGCAGATACCCTCAACACACACAGTGAACACATTTGGTCCACGCGATGATTTTCTTCACAGCTACAAGGGTTACAAATGTGATTTTTGTTTAAAAGGTTATTTAGAAAACCCCTAACAATTCCAAAACCCCATCAAGAATCCTAAAATGAATGCTATAAGCAGGGAATTTCTACTGCATATTTTCCCCCCAGGTCACCAAGTAATTTGTGATTAGTGCAGAATTCCTACTTGCGAGGCTGGTACTTTCACAACATGAGGTGGTATTCCCAATACTGGAACAGCTCCACTGGGTGGGAGGTTCTTGCTGGTTACAGATGCCCACGAAAATGTCTAAAGGAATGAATAGTGTTACTTAGTAACTCAAAGCCTGCAAGTTTTAGTTCTAGCAACAGGCCCAGACCCTGAGCTGTGCCTCTCAGAAGTGGCAGCTGAGGTGGTGGACACAGCTTTAAAACCGCTTTTGAGCCTTCCGAGTTCTGGGTCCAGCCCTCAGCGGTTTCCCCACAGCTGCCTATGAACCATCCCAACTCAGAAAAGCTAGAGTGCAGAGTATTCCAGCCACAGTCTCACTCCCAGCAGTAGCCTAGGCCTATTACACTAGGCCTGTGGCACCCATGGATCCCCACCCCCTGCTGCAATGGCAGAATCAGAGGGAGGAGGGATAGCTCAGTGGTTTGAGCATTGGCCTGCTAAACACAGGGTTGTGAGTTCAATCCTTGAGGGGACCACTTAGGGATCTGGGGCAAAAATCAGTACTTGATCCTGCTAGTGAAGGCAGGGGACTGGACTCTATGACCTTTCAGGGTCCCTTCCAGCTCTATGAGATAAGTATACTTTTATTTCCATAGATTATTTGTTTCCAACCCCTGAACACTGCATAAATTGCATAAACAGGCAGGGATGCAGCACAGAATTGGGGCTATTGTTAGACTCCTCACTGCAGGGGTTACACCCTAACCGTATTTGGAAAGGTACGGTCACAACCATAAGTTGGCTGGGCATAGTCTGGCTTTAAAAGAAGAAAAAATTCAGTGGCTACTGATGCTTATTGATTAAATTTTCACAACTGTGCAAAATGCATTTTAAGACTTCTTTCTATCTCTTTAAATTTTCACAGTTGTGGGAAGTTAGATGGGGCAGATGCTTATTTAATGACAGCAGACATATAACCGTTAACACACAAACTGTCAATATCACATGTCAAAATATAAAAGTAATTATGCTGAAATCAAACTCTAATAGAGGGGTAGGCAACCTATGGCATGTGTGCCAAAGGCGGCACGCGAGCTGATTTTCAGTGGCACTCACACTGCTCGGGTCCTGGCCACTGGTCCGGGGGCTCTGCATTTTAATTTAATATGAAGCTTCTTAAACATTTTAAAAACCTTATTTACTTTATATACAACAGTTTAGTTCTATATTATAGACTTACAGAAAGAGACCTTCTAAAAAGGTTAAAATGTATTACTGGCACACAAAACCTTAAATTAGAGTGAACAAATGAAGAGTCGGCACACCACTTCTGAAAGGTTGCCAACTCCTGCTCTAATAAGTTCTCAAGCAGTATTTTTCTTACTTTGCCTAAATTTTGATTAACAACCACCAATAAAAACCTAATCCTTCCAAGCCTTACCATAAGCATTCAATTTAAGGACAAATTCAAGCCAGTTTCTGGAGCAAACTGAACAG